CCACTGCCTCACTCGGGGCGTCTGCCTTGGTGCTGGGCTGACGCTTCCCCCACGCCTGCCACCGCCCCGGCATCGTGCTGCCGTGCTCTCGCCTGCTCCTCCTTCGTGGTGCCGCTGCCCCCGGCTCTGGTGCAGGGGCTCCTGCTCTCCGCCTCTCTGTGTCCTGCCAGTGGTTTTACCCTATGGTAGGTTACGTCATGCTGTTCTACCACAGGGTAGAACCACGGACGGGATGCGGGGCTGCCTCTGCGTCCGAGGACTCCCGTCTCCCTGCACGGCCGGGGAGCAAAGCCAGGACAGTGCCCGTCCCGCACGGCTCTGAGCTCGGGGTGGGGCTCCTGGGGGGAGTCTGTGCGGGGAGGCTCGGGGGGTGTGTTGCCCAGCTGGGGTGTGCACGACAGCGTGTGTGTGTGCGCGTGTAGGACGGCCTGGGTGGGACTGAGCCGCACGGTGCCTGCCGGCATCCTCGGTGCTCCCAGCAGGGCCTCTGGCGAACCGGGGTGTTTCTTGCTGGTGTCTCCAGAAGCCCGTCACAAACCACGCGCAGGACCCCCGGGGCGCAGGATGCCCTTGCCAAGTCACGCCGGGGCCCAGCGCTTGCCCCGGCACCCCCAGGAGTCGGGCACCCAGTTTGTGTGGGCTGTGCTGTGGAGGCACACGGCTGTCCCCCGCAACGGGGCGCAGCCTCCCTGGGTACCCCGGCTCCTCGAGCCCCTCGTCACCGCGCTCCCTCTTCCTCTCGCCCAGGGAGTGGTTCTTCCTCCTGTCCCACGAGGTGCTCAACCCCATGTACTGCCTCTTCGAGTACGCTGGCAAGAACAACTACTGCCTGCAGATCAACCCTGCCTCCTCCATCAACCCCGACCACCTCACCTACTTCCGCTTCATCGGCCGCTTCATCGCCATGGTGAGAGCCCGGGGTGACGGGGCGAGAGGGGTTGGGGAGGCAATGGGAGACAAGGCTCTTCGTTCGCATCCCCCCCTCCATGGAGCAGGGACCTTGCAGGGAACGGGGGTGGTCAGCGGGGCGAGGGGCGGCTCGCGTGCCGTGGCTGGGCTCGGCTCGGCACTGCCACCCTCCTTGAGCCCCGTCTCGCTCAGGTGCGGGTCTGTGGGAGACGGGCCATGGAGTGGGTGCTGTGGGGTGATAAACCCAGGGAATGGCCTTGGGGCCAGAGGGGACCTGGTTTCCCAGGGACTCTGTGGTGGGGATGGCTCCAGGTCTTTGGCTGCCACCCCAGGTGGTGTCAGGTCTGCAGCTCTGGGGACTATTTTTAGCCCCAGCAGTGTGAGATTTTCCAGCTGCCCAAGCCCCAGAGCGGCTCCTCCCGTTCGTCTCGCATTCCCCGAGGCCAACGTGCTGCAGGTTGCCCAGCCCTGGGTGGCCAGGGGGGCTGCTGGGGGCTCCCTGAGCTTGGGGAAGGGTCCCTGGCCTGTGGCCCTGCAAGGTGTGTGTGGGAGGTGGCTGTGTGCTGCTCAGGTCCCCACTCTGTCCTGCCCTGCCCTGCGCGCTGCAGGATACCAATAAAACCCCAGACTATTACTCACCGCTGGGCCGTTCTAGACAAGCGTCTGCATTATTTTTGGCTGCCTTTGCCTTGGGGCTCCTGGAAGCCAGGGATTCAGGGAAGCCGCAGCACAGCTCTGTTTAAACAAGTGCTCTTAATAGAGCTGTGAGGGGAGAAGGAGACACGGTGGAATTCGCAGTGGGGAGGGGAGAGGGGCTGCAAGCACACCCGCACCGGGCGATCCGCCCCTGGGCAGCGCTGTTGGGGGGAGCCCACTCCTCCCCAGCGTGTTTTCCAGCCCGGAGCGAGTGCTGCAGCTCTGGGACCCTGGGAGCCGTTCCCTTTTGCCCCGTGGCCGCCCCAGTGGCGGGGCATCGTCGCGCCCCACGGGTCTGTGCTGGGGTCCCCTGTGACCTGGTGTCGCCTCCCCGCCGCAGGCGCTGTATCACGGGAAGTTCATCGATACCGGCTTCACGCTGCCCTTCTACAAGCGGATGCTGAACAAGCGGCCCACGCTGAAGGACCTGGAATCCATCGACCCCGAGTTTTACAACTCCATCGTCTGGACCAAGTGGGTGCCCCGCGCTCCCCCCTGGCCCGGGCCCATCCTGCTGCGGGGGAGGCAGCGCCCCTCCCCAACGGCCCCTCGCTGCTGCGGGTGCCTCTGTCAGAAATCACATCCCTGTGTCCTCCCGCAGGGAGAACAGCCTGGAGGAGTGCGGCCTGGAGCTGTACTTCATCCAGGACATGGAGATCCTGGGCAAGGTGACCACCCACGAGCTGAAGGAGGGTGGCGAGAGCATCCGGGTGACGGAGGAGAACAAGGAGGAGTACATCATGTGAGTGGCCGTCCCGAGGCCCCTGCTGGGCACCTACCCCCGCCGGCTGCAGGGCAGTTCTGGGGTGGGAACATGGGGCTTGGGACGTGGCCGCTTCCCCAGGCTACGTGGCCTGTGACAAGTATGGGCTGGCGCGGTCGGCCGAGCTCCGCTGCGGTCTGGCTTGCTGCTGGCTGGGCAGTTGCCAGTACTTTCAGGAAAGAGGAGAGGGGAGAGAGGGCGAGACGTCTCTCCCTGTCCTGTGGCTGCTCACCCTGCCTGTCCGCCACTGGGCTGGCTGGGGGCTGCCGGGGCCATCTCCTGCCGGGGGGCGTGGTTTGCACCCCTCGACCTCCCGATGGCTGCCGGTGTGTGCTCAGGGCTGCCCTGGTTTGGAGGCGGAGAGAGAAACCCACTCGTGGGAATTGAGGGGAGCCCTGGTGATTTGCAGCAGCCCCTCTCCTCCTCCCCACGCACCCTTGTGGCTCCTGGGGCCCTCCCTGCTGGCGGGAGGGATGGTGGGGGTTCCCTGTGCCGGGCCAGCGGCGCTGG